AGATATATGCAAGAACAGGCTTAATGATTAATTAGATGAAACATTGTGAGTGTGGTGTACACTTTGTAATAATTCTTTAGTATATTACTTGTGTGATGTATTAATGCTAACACTGTTATAATCTTTTTTTAGTATAATATGTGTGTGGGCAGAAGTGAATCATTCACTGATTGCAAACCAATGATTGTAAGATGATGTCATTGGGTAGGACTGGATAAGTCTGACTTCTTCCTACTCCATTCAAGCATGTACTAGGTATAAGCAAATTGATATTGGATTATGTGTAAAATTATGTGTGTTGTCATATCAACTGTTTTGACATGCTTGAAAGATTAAATCAAATCAATCAAATCAAGGTCTCATCTAGGCCAGTAGGGAATGAATGGCTTTCTGACTTGTTACTGTGAAGATATGGAGAGCTATCATGAAACTAAAATATATTTTTCTCAAAGGCGGGATGTGGTTTTCAGAGCAGCTACCTGTGCTGTAGCAGAAAGATCATTAACTTCTAAGTTCTGGTGGACTTTGACAGGATCCAGTGTAGCTGGTATACAATTAAGTTGAAACTGTGAATGTTACTCATAAAAATTGAATGCCTCCGTTTAAAGACTGAGAATATGAAATATTGCTAGTTTCATAAAGTGCTTGCTCCTCAGTCTAGAGTCTCCAGCAACACTATTTGAACTTTACATGTAAGACACTCAACCTGATAGCACCACAATTATCTATGAACACCTCACCTGTTTAATGGTACTGTTGGTAAGCGGATGTGTGGTCATGTCGAAAAGCAGGAAGTTCTGTTTCTCTGTGGTGAGGACACCTTTCTCCACTAGGTTTTTGGCCAAACGTTCCCGAACATTTCTCAGCTGATAGTGTAGCTTCAGGGGATTCCATGTCTCTCCTGAAGGACAACATGACATCCAACACATGAAACACTTACTGTGTACATACATGTCATTTTATCCTGTCACGTTTTTTTTTTAGTAATTGTTAGTGCTGCTGCTTCCAGGTTGTAGGTAATAATATTTGGCCAACTAGTGTAGTTTCACGCAGTTTAATTAGAAACAATCAATCAAGATATACTAACAACTCGGATGTTATTAGGGATACAAGTAACAGTTTCATTATTGATTCATCTACTGATGATTTTCAGAATTATCATTTTAACTGTAAGATGTACTAAGACTGTTAAAAATCCCTTGCTATAATTTCCCACAGCGCAAGACGAGGTCTTATGAGGTTTTATCTGACCAACCGAAGATAGTCAAATACTATAATGTATGACAAAGAATAGCAGCAAATCCTCACATCTGACGAGCCAGAAAATGTTTGACATATTTTCTTAATAAACGATTAAAACAATTATTCCATTATTAAAAATGTTGCAAATTGGTTGACAAAGCGGCAAAGCTCTAGATATAAAAAAGCAAAAGCACAAGCTATAAACAAAAAACATGTCACCTACGTGTCCAACATGTCAAACAATGAGTAGATTATTGCATGGTTTGATTAACAAACTGGGCAGGGCTTATCTCACCGCTCAGCAGCTCTATCCAGCTCTGGACAGTCTCTGGGGGCTGGGTTTCTTTAATGTGCTTCAAGGCCTCATCCAGGAGCACGTCTCCTGTCGGTGCATCTGACTTGCAGATCACCTTAGCAAACAAGAAAGGCAAACATAACTGAACCAGGATGAATGTTGCTGTCTCTCTTACTCACTCTGTGTGAAGAGGAATCATGACACTTTTATTTAAACATTATGCGTTTCTCAGCTAAAAGGTTTAGTAAACAGATGGATTTCTTGGCAAGAAGACTACTAGAAGTTCTTGAGCAAGTGAAAATCTTTCTGGCCCTAAACAACAGTTTTGATGTTTTCCAATGAGGATTTCATTCACACCACAACAAGGAGAATGCCCTTCTTCACTTAATCACAGTCTCAATCACGGTCTCAGTCTCTGTATTTCAGGATCTCATTTGACGTAACGGGGCAACTGTAGTTCAGTGGGTAGAGCGGTCGTCTCCCAACCGGAGGGTTGGAGGTTCAAATCACGGTGCCTGCAGTCCACATGTCAAAGTGTCCTTGGGCAAGACACTGAACCCCCAAGTTGCTCCCGATGGTTAAAACCATTGGTGTGAGGTGGCGCTGCAGATGGCTGCCTCGGTTCTGTACTGGAAACAAATTCCTTGTGTGTAACATACTTGGCCAAATAAAGGTGACAGGCTGGAAAACTGATTTTAATCCTGTTTGAAGGACAGAGACTGCTTTGTGTTTATTAGAAATTATACATGAGTGCACAAAATTTCCCCAAGGCTCCATTCTCGGGTTATTTCTGTTCAACATCTACATGCTTCCACTTGGTCAGATTATACAATTATCTACAGTAAACAAAGATTTAAAAAACGTTTTTGGGCCCAAAGAAGATGAAGAATTCAGTGCTCAGCTTCAGTTGCCAACAATTAAGGACAAAACCAAACCAAACCAGAGATCTTAAGTGTAGTCACGGACTCTGGTCCACACCGAGACAATTACAAATCAGTCTGCTATCACTTCATGAATATCAAGAATTAGAGGACGCACATCTCAGCAGGACTTACATAAAAACCAGTCCATGCATTTATGTCGTTCAGTAGGCTTGGTCTTATTAAACTCTCAGTTCTTTTAAACCAGGTCTTCAGATTTTCTGTTAGCTGCTGCCTTAAATTAAACTACATTTAGGACAGTTTAGGACAGCACGGTGGCACAGTGGTTAGCGCCGTTGCCTCACAGCGAGAAGGTTCTGGGTTCCAGCCCCACCTGGGACCTTTCTGTGCGGAGTTTGCATGTTCTCCCCGTGCTTGCGTGGGTTCTCTCCGGGTACTCCGGCTTCCTCCCACAGTCCAAAGACATGAAGCTTAGGTTGATTGGTGTCTCTAAATTGCCCATAGGAGTGCGTGTGTGTGGTTGTTCGTCTATGTGTTAGCCCTGCGATGGATTGGCGACCTGTCCAGGGTGTACCCCACCTTCGCCCGATTGCCGGCCGGGATTGGCTCCGGCCCCCTCCGTGACCCCGTTTATTCATGTTATTTGTAACTCTACACTGTGCTGTGATTTTTTATCCTGTTTGTCTTATTCAATTTTAACTTATTTTTATCTTATTTGGCCATTTCTTTTGTTTAACTGCCTTGTGTTTGTGTTGTATATTTTGTCTTAAGTAAAGCACTTCAAAATACCTTGTTGCTGAAAGGTGCACTGCCTATTACAGATTTCTACAGTAGAGACACTACCAGTCAAGGTCTGGACACACTTTCCCACACTGAATGGAAAGGGGTGTCCAAGGAGGGTCAAAGGATGGTGTTTGGGGCAGCTGTGGTTCAGGGGGTACAGCTGTTCGTCCCCTAATTGCAGGGTTAGGGATTCAGTCCTTGTCTAAGGCACTGTCGCTGTGTAAATGCAATCCACTTAATCGTTTTCCTTTATACACCTGGCCACATTAACATAGTTCTCACCTTCCTTGAGAGCAGACTTTTCCTCCTCACCCCGCAAGGCTCCAGCTGCAGCCTCCCCCTGAGGGCCAGCTCGACAAGCATACAGCCGCGAAGGCCAGAAGAAATACAGTCGTTCCAGAAAGACGTGTAGCCCTGAAAAACAAACAATCAGCTAAGGTGCAGCCCTTGCTAAGATGACGTGTGGCAGGGAGATCTGCGCACGGTTGAAAAGGAGTCACGTCGCTGCTGGCGAGTTGTCAGGAAAACTGCTAAGGTAACGCAAGCTGCCAGAGCTATGAACCTAAATAAACACGGCCATTACCCTTGGCCTAATATGCTACCATTCACCAAAATGTTTAGCATCTGCTTTCGACCACAAATATGCGGCGATAAATTAGTAACGATATACATTTGCAGGACACACTGGTTACATGGTTAAATGACGTTAGCTTCTCTGTTTTAACCTTAGATATATACACGTATACAAGTGTGCCTCTAAGCACACGTATGCAAACTAGCTTCACCTTAAGGCTAAACCGGTAAACTTCCGCTCTTTAAACATCACAAATTAAACATCATTAGCGGGAAGTCAGCTTCGCCTTTGGTGACGTAAACATGTTAGCTAACTGTGAACATAAGTTATCCACTATCCTAAGTGAAGAGTTACAAAATGTCCACACCTCTCGATCCTTAAGACCCAACAGCAACACTTCCTCCATCAGTGTGAGCCTTGTTTCCTTCGAGTCCCCCTTGTCGTCGTCGTCCTCTTCCCCGCGACGTATCTCTTCTTCCTCCCCGGCGGACTCCTTCTCCTTGTCGGCGGCGGCGCTGCGGATAGCCTCGGTCCTCCGCTGGACGAGGCCCGAGGTCCTCTGTGTGAGAGAAGTCATAGCTGGTCCCGCAAAACGATCAAATTCGGAGAAAAGCCCCTTCCTAGACCAGCCAGAAAGCCCTGCAGCATGTAACCTGGTTGTTAAAAGTGGTGAAACTGTGAACCGATCGAATAAAGACGGCCGTTAACGTTAAGCTCTGTTCAGATCTCCTACTTCGACACTGCCCATTTCCTGATCCAACATGGTGGCTGAGGTAGTGACGTAGAATGTGGCTTGAACTGAAGCGTGAACGCATCTCCTGTGTTGCCTTCAGGAGTCCCAGGACATACTGTAAATATAAAAGGTAAACACACAAGATTTAGTACTCAGTAGTATACAAATTATATATTTTGGTGATTTTTGAGGTGAAAAGAAAGTAAGTACAACCCCTGCAATAAACATACATTTGAACGAGCCTTTATTCTAATGTTAATACATGTTTACTGTTAATTTCGTTGACTTAAAAAACAGTAGCCTAATTGTGGCATGTGCAAAGGTTTGGACACCCTAGTCAGAACTTAGTAACCCTTGCTAAAATTTGCTATGTAAATATAAATATGCATTCCTTAATTGTATTATACATGGAATTTCTTTCCAGCTTCTTGTTTTTTTTGAAAGAGAGCACAGTTCATATTCAAGTTTCAAAACATAAACTGTGTCCTGAGTACAATGAGCTCTTCTCACATTGAATCTGGATTTGCAACCAAAGGTGGCCATGCATTTTCTGTCATGGTACTTCATTTGTGCAATGATTTTTTTTGTTGACAATCCACATGACTACTTCTGCATTTTCTTTTAAAATGAGACTCTTTTTCTACACATTAGAGAATAGATAAGTGGGCATCTTTTAGTTGTAAATATGTGCAGCTATGTATGCATTATTATGGCATTATTGAAAGTCTGTGACTCATAAAGGACCCCCTGCCTGCAGTTTATTTTGGTTTAGCCATTTTATATATCAGATTTGCACAGAGAATGCACATGATTGAATAAGCTGACAAAATTGTTAATGATCGCTCCTTGGTTTAAATGTCTGTATCTCATTTATACAATACAATATAGTAACATTTATATAGACTGTCATCTTTATATTCAGAAAAACACTAAAGATATACATAATGAATAGTTATTTTATAAAAGCCACTAAAGACATAATGCAATATAGACTGTCAACACAAGGTGGCAGGCTGTGTGTGGGACATAAATAACTAGTCTGCTGGTATTCCTCTGCTGTCTTTCCTCCTGTGTTCATGAATACTGATGCTGAGAATTAAATACTCTAAAACTGGCCCTGAGCCAACAGGCCTGAAACCTCATTCTTGTCCTGGACGCAGAACTGGCTCATGTGGGGTTTGACAGCAAATGGGACTTTTATCATTCCATAAATATCACTAAAGTTTGGCCAATTCTCTTTGAGTGACATGGAGAGATTAGTACACACTTTTATGTACACCCAGCAGAGCAGAATTCTTTAATGTTCTTCTCTCTCATCAACCCCAAAAATGTTCAGAACTCTGCTGCCCGAGTGCTGACCAGGACGAGAGGCAGAGAACACGTTACACTTTTCTTTTTAAAGTCTTTACATTGTTTTCCTCTCAGACCCTGTATTGATTTTAAAATTATTTTACTTGTTTTTAAAGCACTTCATGGTCTGGCACCAGCCTCCTTGTCTGACATGCTTCATCACATGAAGCACGTCGGACAGTGAACCAGGATGACCTCTCAGGTCCTCTGAGAGGACTGTTCCAACTGGACAAAGGCTTTTGCTGAGGCAGCTCTGAGTCCTTGGAAGACACTCCCTGATGACCCGAAAGCAGCTGAAAGTGTTCTGGCTTTTAAAGCTAAACTTAAAACCTTAAAATTGTTTATCCTGAGTTTTGATTAGAATATTTTACTTCCATTGCAACACATAAGCCGATTACATACTCTGTGCTTTGTTCATGTTTGATCAAGAAAGTCATAACACATCACAAACCAGCTACAAGTAACAAACACTGTTGTCTTTTCTGATGTTAAGGAACCTTCGAGTATGGCCCTGGAGTTGATTTCACAGATGGTTGGAAATATGCTCTGTGTAAACACCCATCTCTGCTACCATCACAGTCAACCAACACCCTGACCATCTAGGTAGCTTTTTTTTTGCACACAGTTCAAGATGACAAGAAGCATAAGCACTAGAGCAGCAGGTCTGGAAAAAGTCTAAAAGCAAATGTTATCATGGTGAAGTTTGATCAAATGTAAACTGACATGAACACTTAATTTTAAGCAGAATTCGGCTCTAAATAAATAGATGTCAGTAGATTCCATTTAAATGCTACATGTCCGTGCAGATTCTCAGTCATCCAGGTCATAGTAAGCTGAAAAAACTTAGAAAACTCAACTGGACTGGGTTTTTAGGTCGAAGATGTTTCACCTCTCATCCAAGAGGCTTCGAGGTTTCGACAAATACACTTCACTATAGACAACCTGATGGACCAAACAGAACAACTAAGAAAGAGACTCTCCACCAAGGTTACCAGAGAAATCTTTCAGGAGATCTCAAGATTCTTGGAGAAGGTGCAACTTACCCAACACAACAAGAGCAAGGCGCGCCAAATGGTTAAATTCCAGAGACGGAACTGATGAAGCCTCTTGGATGAGAGGTGAAACGTCTTCGACCTAAAAACCTGGTCCAAGTTTTTTCAGCCAATTAAATGCTATTTTTTAAAAGGCATGAAAACCAGAAGAGTTTAGAGTTTTTAATACATTTTCTATTAAAAAAGTCTTTTAAATCCAAATATTGAACCAGACATAAATCTGATTTGACATATTGGCTCATCATCTGTTACCCCACTGACACAATTGATAAACCTTTAGGTCCCTGTGAAACCTACCAGAGATCTTAAATGATTCAAAAAACATCTGTATTTTTCACTTTGTACATTTTTGCTCACTGATCCTGCCGTTCTGGTCTTGACCAGGAGCCTAAATCACTCCCCAGAGATTTAACAGAGGCCACATTCAGGCGCATATTGGAACCATTTCCTGTTTCTGGAGTGGGCAAAGTGTTGACCATTGGTGCCCCTTTTATAATAATTGCACAAGAACACACTCACATACACACATGAATACACTCTTAAGACAACATCCCCACAGAGACAACCAGGAGAGTCACTTACCATGGCACTGGAGTAAATGAATTATAACCTCTCAATTGCCCTCTACACTGCATCCCATTGGAGAATAATGGGTGAGAAAATGTAATTATATTTAATAGTGTGTGATATTGAGAAGCCTCAGTGAATACTAGAAGGCTGAGAAAAAGCAGAATTACAATTTTGTAATTATATGGAGGGGACTCGAAAATGAAGATTCAATCAATTTAATCACAGCTTGTTACATTAATAAGAAATAAGATAAGAAAGGAGGATAAAAGGTCACATCTACAAATTTCAAAATTTGTTTCTGTGTTTTGGGCTGGTGTGAAAAGCAGGTGAAACAAAAGCTCAGTGCAATTCACAGTGCAGTTATGATTGCACATCCAAGGACACGCCGGCTACAGGGCCAGGTGGGCTAAAAAGACCGCAGGCCATACACACAGTCAACAACAGTAAAGCTACTACACAAGAAAGTGAAAGAGAATAACGAGGTCAAAGCAGCAAAATGCCTGTCTCAACATCTGCTCCAACTCACTACAATTACAGGAAGTGCTTTGCCTTCGGCCCATTCACAGTGACATGAATAATAAACATTACAATGAGGTAATACATCTCCACCATATAATGCAATTGACCAAAGAGTCCTTTTACTTCACAGCAGAGGCCTGAGTACATATATTGAAAGCCTTCAGTGTAGGACACAAATTAGTTGATGGATTAAGGAGTTTGTCGTATGCATTTAGGTGAGTGAGGTTGTCTCAGAACCAGTCAGATGTAATAACCTGAGACTTGGAAAAAGAATTTTAACATGTTGGACTAATGTTTCTTACTTGCAGCAATTAAAGCTAAGTTGGTAGAGACCAAAAACAGAGCAGAAAGACAGTGACTATTGGACTTCTTCAGGTGGCCAGAGACACCAAATGAGTGATAATGTTGCTCTGACACTACTGGATGTTTAAGCACCTGTTAGCTAATAGGTTCACCAGTATTCACGACTTAAACAGCAGCTAGTGACTAAACCTGTGCTTTATTATTTAGTTAAAGTGTTAAACTAATGCAAAAAGCACAGAGAAAAGCCATGAAGTCAGTGATGTGACTCAGTAATGTGTGTTATATAGCAATGTTTATCTAAAGTTTGCCAAAATAAGTTGCTGGTCATAAATGACAAAGTAAGGTAGTAGCAGCAAAAATACAATGGTGCATTTTGCTTTAAGAGGAAGAATTCTTTCAAAAGTAACATAGTCTCACTTTGGCCTTGATCTTTGACCACCAAGATCTAATCAGTTCATCTTTGAGTCCAAGTGGACACTTGTGCCAAATTTGATGAAATTCTGTCCAGGCGTTACTGGCATATCTTGTTCACAAGAATGGGACGGATGTACGTATGGACGGACAACCTGAAAGGATAACGCCTCCAACCACAGCTATCACTGGCACGGAAACATTAAAATATTGTGTCTGCGTGGTTTTGAAACCCCAAATGAAGATGTGTTTTTTCTGCAAGACCTCAAAATTTGTGTGATCCTCCTTTTCCTCTGTTCACCCTAGTAGATTTCTACAGGAAGCCTTAAACAATGGGACCCCTCCAGAGGTCCCCAGCTGTAAGAAATCTACACACACACACGGACACAGAATACAGAAGCACATATGTTTACATTTGCACATACAATCCACATTTACAGTACTTTGTTTACATGAAGAAGACCAACATTGTTCAGTCAGACGACTTCCGATTAGAGACCAGGAACAGCTGATGAGCGAGCAGCACAGCTGAACTCACGCTTAACATTTGGTTTATTTGCTGAGCAGAAGTGATAGAGTAGTAAAGGCACCACAGCTCTGCTCAGTTCAAGGCAAAACAACCAGGGGTGGACATCACACAGTGTTGAACTACCAAACCATTAATACAGTTAATTGTGCTCCACCTTGACCAACCATAAAACATGAATTCATTATTCAGTTCCTTCTACAACTACAGTGAATAGTTAATCAGCAGAAAAATAATCAACTGACTTCATGATAGAATAAAAAATGTTTCAGTCAGTAAACA